AACATCTGCTTGCGCCCCTGCCCCGCGTCAGCATTCGCCTAACTATCGCCTCCACAGGCTTTTTCATTTATTCTTAGTGCATTGTAAGAAGGCTGTCTCGCTTATGATCCGTGTTGTCGGTGCACGCCTGTGGATAATGGCGGGAAAAACGGGATATCCGCTCGAAAGTGCCTAGCGGCGTCGCTTTTGCCGCTTAAGCCTAGACAGGAAATATGGCCAGGGCGTTCACCGGGTGGCCAAAGTTGTCTGCCTCGAAAACAACAGCAATCTTGGCGGGGATCACTTGTATGGCTGCCTAAGCAGGATACGGCAACAGGAACTGCCCACAATACATGTGACTTTAGGTCAAATTCTGAAAAACCAGGTTTGAGGGTCAGGTTGGGGTTAGGGTCAAGATTAGGTTAAGATTATAGTTCTGTTGTATTGTTAGGGTTAGTTTTAGAGTGAAGCCACAAGGGAGTATTTACCCTTAGTGGAGTTTATCGCAAGGCCACTTATTTTAATTTGGCCTGGCGTTTCTAGTCAGGCGTTTCCTGCTTAGACGTCTTTACAAGTCATCCTTACCGCAATCTCACCGGTAGTCCGCAGAGTGTTGCTTCACCGGCACGCATTCTTAGACAGTGGGGCAATGGCAAGTTATGTAGGCGCCTCTTAGTCATCACTGACCCCAGGATCGTGTTAAATGAAATTGATGGTAATGATGGCGGTTTCAAAGGTGGAGCCTCACCGTGGGCAGGCTGCAAAGTGTGTACAAAAAAACTCATGAAAAATCAGTAAATTTGCGCCAAATTTATTCTTTCAGCCAACACTAGACAACCCTCAATAAATAAGGGGAATTAGAATAGCAGAAACCGTAATGAAGCAACTTTGTGCATTTCTTTAATTTCATGTAGCAGTTAACACATGGAAGGCCGTTCCCTTTACCTATGAGATAATAAACCAGACTAGACTATGCATTTTAGACTCAGAGGCTTACATAACCTATCCTTGCCGAAAGTTAGTTTTTCGCCCTGCCCCCCACACCCTCTCTTCCTTCTGGACTCATTAATGCAAATTCAGCAGCCCTCGCCTGTAACCACTTACCACTTTCGTCCACTCCTATGTGGGGCTGGTCTGTATCCCAATGTAAACTAGTCTCCTCCTCCATTAGCAAAGCTGGCGTTTTAGTTGCTCTCACTGTTCCTGGCAAATTGAAATTTGACGTAAAGCCTAGATGAATTACTGTTTTATGATAGTTCCTCCAAATTCGGGGTTCCTTTCAGAAGTTTTGGCTTTTAGCATGTTTAACCTCGCGGTCAACTCATCAGCCTCGAACTCGTGACCTTTTTGATCAGAGCCGAGCCTCCTTACTATTGAGCCACGAGCTTGTTTTCCAACCGGTTTAGGTCAGGGTCTATTGACGCTCGTTGATGGACGTTCACCTAACCACCTATGCTACTGCCTACTTCTATACTACTACTCCTGCCTGATTGCCTATACTACCAGCTGTTACGGCTGTCAGGGCCTCTGGCGAGACCCAAATCAGAGGTGGACGGATGAGTCCCGTTAGCGATCAAGTGAACGTTCGTCAACGAATCTTGTTGCCATTCGACTGGAAATGTTTGCCCTCAGCAAATTGGCCCTCTGCAAAGGCAACCAGTACGTTCTGCTCATAGCAGTCCCTTCTTCTCCATCCAACCAATCTTAGGACCGCCGCATTGCCGGTCGGTTGGAAAGAGGGCGGGAGTGGTTTTTTTCCGAATCGGCATCCTGTTCCGCCTCCGTCTTCTCGGGTTCCTTCTTTCATAAAGTTCAGCTCATTTTTCACTCATTCTGTTTACTAGAGCCCGGTCAATTTATAGGTGTTTCCGCTAGTTCACGTTATGT